ACCTCTTATACCTACACTGATTAGTCATCTGAAATTGTAAATAAAGTGCCCACCTCTTTATTAAAGTGCACTCTTTTTAATGAAGTGCCCATCCCCTCTACACATTTTATTTGCTAAATGAAAAGTTAATTTATCGCTTTTCTTTTACTCCCCCAGCTGCTGTATGTGGAAACAGAAGAGCCTCGCAGCACCCACAATGCTTTGCCACTTCGCTCCTCACTCACCCCCACCAAGAAAGTTGATGTGGACCGAACAATCATGCCAGATGGAACCATTGTCACCACTGTCACCACCATCCAGTCTCGACTCAAACTGGAACGCAGTCCAGGTACAATTGCAGAGTCAAGTATCACCTTGTGCCAGGTTATGAAACAAGAGATAAAAAAATGTTGTGACAATATTAACAATGACATAAGATAGTTTTGATGCCTCTCAGGTGATTCCCCTTTGCGTTCGCCATCTAAAGTGGAGGTGAATGAGAAGAAACCCACCATCCTGTCAGATGGCAGAGGCAGCCCCAACTCCAGCAGTGAGTTCTAGGCTGAAGGGCCAGAAGTTGTTTTACATAACAGATGCAAAGTAGGATAAGCAGCAAGCAGCAGTGTAACACGAGATGAGACAAATGCACTACGCAGTACACATGATGCTCTGTGCAGGTACTTCTGTACAAAAACCTTAATGTTTTACAGCAGCTTTACACAGGGAAGCAAATTGCTTATTGTATAGAAAGCAAAGTACAGATAAAGTCTGATAGACAGGAGAATGTTTGAGAAATATAACTACAGATATATATTTGATTCCTCTTTAGCATTAAAATAATGTCCTTTTTAGTTTGATACAATAGAGTTTTCTTATATATATTTCTATAGTATAGTGCTGAGTTACATATTTGTGTTTTTGTTGCTCAGAGAGTGGCCGCCTCTCTAATGGCCTGGATCCTGTTGCAGAGACGGCCATCAGGCAGCTGACAGAGTCCGCCTCCAAAGTAGCCCGGAAGACGCCAACAAAAAGGAGCACGCTGATCATCTCGGGCGTGTCAAAGGTCAGAGAACTGAGACTGAGAGTGTGTTATTGAATTTGTGCCATCACTGGTAAAACAGTGGGACAGTCATCTGCCAGTACATTTGTGCACTAATCAGTATGATGTCAGTTATCCACACAGCTATTTTTATAAATGAATATATAAAATTGCTTTTGTTTTTTCATGATTTCAAAACTCTGCCCTGAGTACATGAACCATTAACAAAAACCTACTTTTAAGAAATCTAAAGTACAATGACATGGAACCAGGCAAAATGACTTGGATCTAAATTTAGTCCACAGTCCCAGTCCCCCATTGGACCACATTATGGGAGAATGAAAGGCTTCTGACCTGATTTTGGCCTGAAAGCCTTTAGAAATGTATTCAGGGCAAGAAGCTACGCTTTAAACCTGACACACAATTCACTGAAAAGTGCCTGAGTCTTGGTGTGTGATGAAGTGTAAGAGTGCTGATGATGAAGTGCATATTTTGAAATAATAATAATAATAATAACATTAATTATCGTACCGTGTCCAATATAATCCCTTAATTAATCGCATTAACTAATTCATCTTATCAGGTTCCGCTCTCAGAAGATGACTGTGTGTTATCGAGTGGCTACGCTGCAGCCATGGATGCAGCCATGCACGAAAACCATTACGGCGCGGGGCATCACCAGGACCCGGATGAAACCACGCCCTCCGACGTGTCAGAGCGTCCATCTGTGGACGATGTGGAATCAGATACTGGTTCCACTGGTGGCTTGGAGACCCGCAGCCTCAAGGACCATAAAGGTAACACAGTGGTTATAGCTTGCTGCCTGGTCTGTGCAGTGAGGTAGAGATTCACCTTCCACTAACATTGTTCAGTAACGTTTTATGCTAATTGTAAACATGATATCCGACAATTCAAATATTGTCTTTGCAAATTGTTTGATGGCACATGGCCAGTCTCTTGTCTTTGAATGATAGATCAAAGATTAGATTTGGATTATTTTTGGCCTTGTAAAAGAGGTTATCATTTTCATTTTCACAACTCACTGTATTATATTATACTGTGCAGTATATGTCACATGCAAACACTTATTTTAAAGCCTTACATAACATCAAAACTTCAATAGAGCAGCTGACTCTAAAGTCCTACTACTGCCCTCTGGAGGCCATGCGGCAGCATGCAACCAACCAGACCAAAGTGTTTTTGAATTAATTAGTTCTAAATTCAATTTGAATATCAGTTTGATAAGGGAGCTGTCTCATGAAATCAGTGGATTTATTCAACAACAGTAGTTGGCTGATTGATTAGTGTTTTTCAATTAATTGCAGTATTGGGTCCCAATACTCGGGGATCACCAATTAAATACAGTGATGTATACTGTCTGCTTCCTCTAGTGGGTTTTCTACAGAGTGGATCGAAGCTGTGGTTCCGCAGAAGACATCGAGAGAAGGAGTCCTGCCACAGCCAATCCCATGAAGACATCTCCAACATGGGCAATAACTTTGCTGCTGTCGCATCCAGCAGCCGTAAAAAGTCCGGCAGCTTCTCCCGGCGCCTCATCAAACGCTTCTCTTTCCGCTCATCAGGCAAATCAAAAGGCAAAGCCACTGCAACCAACGGAGGAGCAAGCTCACTGGATAACTGATTATCACTGTTAGAACATGCGTCATTGTGACTTTGACAGGATTGTTCTAAGGCTTCTCTTATTACTGTCAGAAGAACCACTACACCTTGAAAGAGTCCAGTCTTTGACGGGTTGAACACCCCAGGCGGGTTGTCACCTGTACATCTTGAAAGGAGGAAACCTCTGGGAGGGATTGTTCCTCTGGAAAGAATTTATTGCACCTTCAGGACAGAAGTCTTGTTTAAACACATCACTGAACTTTGTTGTGATTAAAAAATCTGTTTCTTTGAAGGAGAAATCTGCTGCTCAGCGCGAAGAAGGTGATACTTAAAATGAAATGTCATGTTCCCTGTTTGAACACAAACTATACCGGGAGTGTTTGATTGTGACTGATGGTGGAAATGCTCTTAACTATTTAATGATATAAAATGCCAGTATGATGCCATTGGTTGCACTTTGGACTTTTTTTAAATTGCTGGGTTGTATAAAGGTAATTTATTATTATGTGGTTCACATGAAACAAGTGCTATTTATTTTACCCCCCAAAAAGGAGTCATCATAGTTGCATTACACTGTAAAATAGAGACGTTGCTGCCTGTTTTTTCCATGCAAATGTAATTTTAAACACATAGTTTCAGTAAGTTAACAAAAACCAGTCTTAATCTAGCTGTAATGTTCATTCATAATTGCTTATACATTGGTTTAGAATGTTGTTCGATGTTGTATCTTATATAAGCAGAAAAGATAATATATTTATTGTACTTTTTATTTTATAAAGGTACTTTTTGTGGAACATCATAATGCATTTAAGTTTGCTTTTAAAAACTTCAGCCAGCCAGGATCTCTGGCAGATGCTTCAAACCAGGCAGTGAGTTTAAACTTTTTAAATTCTGACATTTTTCTGTCAGTAAAAAAAACACACCATCATTTCCGGCTCTCCTCTTGGCTCCTTTTGACTCCATTTCGGTCAAAATTGCATCTAAACACATTATTGAGACTTCAGTTGATGCTCATATAGACTTTTAATTATTGCAATAACTATCATTACTGTGCAGCAAGATTGCATATATTGTGTGAAATGCCTGACATGGGTCGCAGGCAAATTAATCATTTGCAGGAAATGCTGACATCAGATAATAATCATGAACTGTATTTACATTTAGGAGCCTTCTTTCTTTTTAAATACATTTAAGTCCCACATCATCACAGCAACAGTTCTGCCGTTTAGCCTGGAAAAAAATGGAAACTAATGTTCAGAGACGTTCTGCTGAGACATCGTAAGCAACAGGATTGTCTAAGTTTACCAAGAGTGAAGAGTTAAGTGGACACTCAGGGCTAGAAGTGAAATCGCTACTAGCAACTAGAGATATAAGGAAACCTGCTGCATCCTTCAGACAGAACCGATGTGTAAAAATGTATGATGTATATGTATATATATATAGATATACATGTTTATATACATATACATGTATATAAAATGTTTTTGGACATTTGTGTTTTGTCAGACAAAATGAAAAATCTGCATTAATAAAACTGCATTAATAATGGGACTTCAGAACAACCAAATGAAATGATTTTGATTAAGGATAACTAATTAAAGGGATAACAGAGATGCTTTACAAGACTGAAACCAAGTCATAGTGCTGAAGAAATGAACAAAGCCTCTTCATTGTCTAAAGCCACATTATATATACCTTATATATACAGTATATATATATATATGGCTGGAATGTGAAACAGAAAGCGGCTGCAAAATTTAAGATATGTATGATTTGTTGTAATATTTGAAAATGTTTAATTTATTGCAAATAAATTATTTTTGAAGCGTCACTTACAGGTCTGTACCTGACTCCTGTTGAGGCCCTTTGTTTTATGGTATACATGAAAAATGTGTCTGTGTAAAGCTACTGAAAATGACCCTACACTGTCACTGACTAAAATTACTTCTTACACATTAAAACTAAGTAATTTTCAGTAGTATATATATCACAGACCAGCTATACTCAGGATCTATACAACATGTTTAAATGATCTGATCAATATCAATGAATTCTGCATTAGATCACTTTCACTGCACAATCTGCAAAAGCGCCAAAAACTTGAAGCTGGAGGGAAGACAGCGGATTGGTCGTCTATGTCCGCCTCTCGACGTCTGTGACCCACTCACAACAAGCCGGAAATACAACAGCCAATCGCCTTTGTTTCTTATGTGCAGCGCATCGTGATTGGTTTGACACCAGAGCAGTTACACCAATACCAATTTACTTCTGGTCTCCGTTGACTTCTGTAAGCCAATCGGACTTGACTATTTCCATTCCAGAAGCCAATCGCGTCGTAGGGCGGGACAAAGCTGGGGGTTTATATCCAGGTCGGGGCTCTACTGTTTCCTTAATGCTTGGAAACCTACGATTGCAGTAATTTGTATCGGAAGAAAAGCTCAATAAACCTACAATGTCTGGAAGAGGCAAAACCGGAGCAGCAAAGGCCCGCGCTAAGGCCAAGACCCGCAGCTCCCGTGCCGGTCTACAGTTCCCTGTCGGCCGTGTCCACCGTCTCCTCCGCAAGGGTAACTACGCTGAGAGAGTCGGCGCCGGAGCCCCAGTGTACCTGGCCGCCGTCCTGGAGTACCTCACCGCTGAGATCCTGGAGCTGGCTGGCAACGCCGCCAGAGACAACAAGAAGACCCGGATCATCCCTCGCCACCTCCAGCTGGCAGTCCGCAACGACGAGGAGCTGAACAAGCTGCTCGGCGGGGTGACCATCGCCCAGGGCGGCGTCCTGCCCAACATCCAGGCCGTCCTGCTGCCCAAGAAGACCGGCCAGTCTGCACCGAGCTCCGGCAAGGCGGGAAAGAAGGCCTCCTCTCAATCTCAGGAGTATTAGCTTGTTTGCTAATAACTTTCACCCCAAAGGCCCTTTTAAGGGCCACCCACTTCTCACTGAAAGAGCAGATGTTCTTGCTTGTCACTGTCATTTCACTTTCCGCATTTTTAATTTAATAAACGCTTTGTTTTGTAAACGTGGTGCTCACTATTCCTTATTCGGTCAGGCTAACTGAAGCTAACGTTGCTTGTTCAATGACTTCTGCTGGTGATAGCCACTGAGTGAATGTGTTTAACAAACCTTCCCCAGACCTCGGTGACATTAACTTGTGCCCTAGTTTAAAAATGGCTCGTAGCACAGCGAGGTTGTTTATATGCGACCTATTCAACAGGCCATCAACGTGACCGGTCTGGGAACAGTCATGGCCCCCCTCCAGTCAGCAGCATGAACAGCAAATTCATGGACCACAACCTGCAGGATGCTGTTCATCTGGGTCTTTCTAGCATGACTGTGCAGCTTTTGTGCAAGCAGGGTCTTAAGTTACTCAGTCTTTATTAATATAAACGTAGCTTAACGAATCCCTCCAATACACTGTATTTAACACACTGTATTTGCATTTGTGTTCATATACAACCGTAAGGGGTTAAGTTAAGCATAATGTTAGTACCTGATTGAGGATCCCATTATTAGTACCAATTCAGTCTAATCCAGTAATAAATCCAACCCTATTTACATCAATGAATGTAAGGAGAAGCACCACAAACTACAGCCTCCAAAGTTGCCATAATATTCTCTAAAATTATTTCACTAACAGTTAGTTACTGCAGCACTGTCGCATTAGACTGCATTCATTTTGGCTGTAGTGTACCTAAGAAGCTCACAGCTGGGTGTATCTTGGTGTATAAACCCATTTTAGTCAGGGCAAGTCGTTTTGAACATCACTGGGATTTTATCCGTTAAAACAGACAGCTGTCTTTAGGTGAAAGTGTCCTAAATAGACTTCATCTGTGTGGTTAACGCCTACATAACATACCAACGGCTCTTTGAGCTCCAGGTGTTTCCTTGTGACATGTGAAGAAACAAACAACTCTCCAGCCAGTTTACCAGCGTGAGCAAAGTGACATCAACCACATGTGGCTCTAGTGCTGCAGGCATACCATTGTGAATTAATTTAATCAATTTAATCCTCTAAGTGTAAATCCCATCATCCAAATGAAGAGGATTTGTTCTAGAAATTAGGCAGTGAGTCACTGAGCTGTTTTTGTGAAAGTAGACAAAAGGCCATCAGCACATAGCAGCATTTGGATAAAGTTCCAGTACATCATCATTTCTGGTAGTTTATTTTTACCACACATTACCGTTTGCTTCCATCTTTATACAAATGTAACTGCCAATTAGCTCTTGTAATATATGATGAGTATAAGTGTTGCAGAGAGATTCTGTGTAGTCTGAAAGGGAAGAGCAAGGATCAGTGCAAACCCCCAAAATATGGCCAAATAAAACCTACGCTGGAAAAAAATCCACCATGCACAAGTCATAAATGCACACTAGGTCACAGAAAAACAAGTCGTGGCTTCTGACACCTCGCCAGATAGCTCCACAGTGCTGTGACTCCAAACAAATTCAAACATGTTGGGGGGGAAAACAGCAATGCAGCAGCTAGTCCTGATGAAAATAATCCATTGTTTCTGCAAAATGTTCAGTGACTTGTTTAATAAAGTATAATAGAGTTTAAACATGTATTACAATTACAGCATGCACCAGAAATGGTTGTGCTAATTAGACAACGTAACACATGTCAGAACAATCATGATTATGATGTTGATCAAGGTGCACTTCACTGACTTTGCCACCAGGGGTCAACTGTTTCATATCTTAAAATCTGGGATTTTGATGCCCTGTGTGTGTTTCCATTTAATAACCATTGAAAGATGCTTCACTGCACATATTGTTCCAACAGATATGCACCTCATGCACCCTGTCTAATGAAAATGCTGAAAATGAAAGACTTCACAGTAACATGTAAAATAATAAAACATCTGAAAAACTATGTTGAGGCCCTTCAGTCCTTCCAGTAGTTCACACTTCATATTTTTACATGTATGCACCAAAAAGTCACCTGTAATTTTCTGTTACAGGAGGAAAGCATGCAGATATTTTGGTCTGTGTTGGCTGCTTTCTTACTGGCACAAGCAGCATGACGCACCGAGTTTGAACCGAGCCCAGGACAGGCTGAACCAATTACTTGGGCCTTGACAACGTGTCCAACACCAACAGCCAGGCTAAAAATTCCAGCCTGAGAGGAAAAAAACCTGAATGTCCATTGGCTGTGATGACTATAATTTCCTGTCAGAGGCTCTAAATTTACCAGCGATGCTCTTCTCAGCTGTTCATATTTAAGCTTTTCTTAGTTTACATCTGCTTTTTCTGTGGCTGTGCAGTGTTTAGCAGAAATTGGTGCCTTGAGAGAAAGTATGCCTGTGAAATGTCTCATGTGTTTCTCTCATAGTGCAAACGTTGGCTACCTCAGTCTAATCCTTCATGAGTTTGAAGTGATCTCATCCTGAAGACACTTTTTTTCCCATGTTTTCTGAATTACAGCTTCAGCAATGATGAACAAAAAAAGATGACCTACAGCTAGTGCAGGGATACAGAGGGGAAACATTCTTTCAGGTATGCACTGGGTATGGTGTGTACATGTGAGCAAATCTGAAGATCTAGAAAACAAATCTGACTCACAGAGGAACATAGATATACAGAGATATACAGATGGCAAAAGGGAATGATAAGTGGGGAGAGAAAAAAGGCCGGATAGAGGGGTGGACCCAGCAGAAAGATGTATTTGGATGCACCGAATGTTTCACTTTGAAACTTTCCCAACAGCAGCAAACGACAGACAGCATATTTCCACCCTGGAGAACTGGAAGACTTTTCTCACAAGGAGTTGGGAAGATGTTTTTAATCTTTGGACGAAATCATTCCACAGACAAGAAGATGTTCCTAGCCAGCTCTGGTAATGAAAAACAAAAATATTTGCTTGATGATGATGATGATGATGTGTGTCTGTGTGTGTGTGTGTGTGTGTGTGTGTGTGTGTGTGTGTGTGTGTGTGTGTGTGTGTGTGTGTGTGTGTGTGTGTGTGTGTGTGTGTGTGTGTGTGTGTGTGTGTGTGTTTGAATGAGAGAGTAAGTGGTAGGCAGAAGGGGATAATGGAGCTATTGTGGCAGTTTTTCTCATGCCTTTCAGCCTGGCCCAGTTATTTCTCACTGGAACTGTGTGTGAGAGAGTTTACATACTTTGGTTATCATTTGTGTAATCATTTATTATCATCTTTGTTCCCATTTATAACTTAAATATTACAGAACAGGTGGAAGGTATCACAGAGAGAGAGAGAGATTAGGAGCCAAAGCCAGCCGTCTCTGTGAATGGACACTTTTATGTGTGTGTGAGATCTGGCTGCCTTTGGGGCTCATGTGGCTAGTAATGCACTTTGGTGGAATTACAGGCTGATGAAGTATTTCCCTGAAAGGAGCGTGAGGTGCACATGTGACTGAGTGAGTATGTTTAACTTTGAAATAGACCTTCTGATGTGATGCTCTTCTGTGTGACAGGGGAAAACAGGTCAAATACACTTCATGAATACATAACTTGTTTGCATGTAGATGTGTATTCACTCTTCTTATGGAACATAGTGATGCGAGACAAGTGGACAGATGTTACAAAGGAAACGGCACATCTGTTTGGTGGGAGACTCAAAGGAAAGGTTCTTGGCATATCAGCAGCTTCCTGTGTTTTTTTTTATTTGTTCTGGTTCGTCTGGGGTCCTGCCTTATTGTAGCATTTGGCTGATCACATGATGTGAGCTGGTACTTTCTGGACTGTATGATGATTGTTGCAGTATAGAGCATGTGGGTGTTACATCAAGCAGAGCAACTCACAAGATTCAACTGTTAGTTTGTTCCTGTATAACAGAATAGGTTGTTATTAACAATATTGCAAAAATTAGACATTGTGTTGCTACCATAATGTCCTTCAACTATCTGGGTCTTTGTTGTACATGATGATGATCTGTGTAAGGCATCTTTGAATTAGTCTTTTAACACTTCTCCCTCAGGTTGAGAATTTGAGGTCAAGGTTAGGGCAGAGGTCATGTTTTGGCCTGTCACACTTAGCGGAAGAAGCAGGATTTTGTGCACCGCCTGAGAGGAAGTGCTGACTTGGTTCAGTACCTGAATCCAAGCAAAGTAAAAGAAAGTAAAAGCTGTTTCTCATCAGACTCCCACACACTTTTCAGCTGCATGAATTTAAGCTGCTTCTACCTCTCTGACTTTAGCCCGCTCAGGCTTATTGTTCCTGACTGCACTTTTACATCCTGCAGACATCTGCTCCAACAAGTCGGTTAGGTTAGATAGTATAGAATTGTGTGTATCTACAGGGCACACAAACCTCAAACCAGACACGCAATTCAAGAGAAGTCCTCACACCAGATGGTAAATCTTCCAAAAAAATGGTGAACTTTTATCATCCTCCCACAGCGCTCTTAACCTGTTACACTACAGTCAATTCAGGTTTACAACCAAGACTGTGTGCAGGGAAAATAAAGTTGCATTAAGTCATAGCATTGGCTAGCAATCAACATCAGAAGGCAAACAGATATTGATCATTAATCCATCAATTCAACCGTCCAGACCGATATGATATAACTCCAAGACAAAATAAAAACCTACTTTTTAAAGCTATGATTAAAACATTATATTACACCTTTAACAACATCTTTTCAAAACCCTGTCTGAATAATATTACAACTCATAATCTTAATGATAATACTACTTGACTGGCAAAAAGTAACCTCATTATTTTTTACTTTAAAGCCGGTTTAATGCATGTGCTCCAATTAATAAGATTCAAAATTAGTTAAATTATAAGCTCTTGTTAATGTTGACATGGACGTTCACTGTCATATTACATCCTGATAGTTAATAAGGATTCACTTTGCTCTGCTGTATTACGTTGCTTGCTGTAGCTGGGGTGAATAATCTACACTCACTAAATATTTAATGGACATTCAGCAACTTTTCATCCCCTCAGCTGTAACCTCCACATCATCACTGAAAGGGCGACTGACTCAGAGCATCAACCCTCTCTGCAGACTTTGCTTCAAGTCCATCTGGTTACTTAGCTGCCTCTGTTTGTTTG